TTCAGGGGATCTTGTAGTCGAGCAGTCTCGACTAGAGCTTTCTTACTTGTTTATAATGGTTTTGTTTAATACAATCTCTATTGTTCTGCATTTTACTCTATAGCGGTGGGATAAAATCGATAATCAGGTTACATTAGCATTAAACGAAGCAAAGGATAATGTTCGTTTTATTTCATCATTACAAAAATTTTGGGACCCACTATACAGGTAAAATACAAAAATATTATTAAATTCCTTCAAAATTAAATAAATGTTTTCACAGGTCATCACCAGATGAAATTATAAGTAGTTTACCAGGACTAATGGTTGCAATCCGCAATGTTTGCAAAACAGCACATTATTTTAATACTTCAGTAAATTTGACTGGACTCATGGTCAAAATATCTAATCAGCTTACTATTACCAGCAAAAATTTTATAACTGATAATGAGCATCGTAGCCTATGGGAGATATCTTCATTAGAGATTATTGAAAAGATTGAAAAATGTAGAGATGTTATGGATCACTTCAAAAATATATATATAAATACCGTAGAAGAAATGAAAAATAGTAATGAGAGACCATGGACGGTATCTTCAGTTTACATATTTACATGTTTAGAAAAATTTCTCAATCGCCTGGAAAAAATAAAGTGTATAGCAAATACGGAAATAATATATTCAATTTTGGATCGCATATTAATAAGTGGAATGGAAAAATTTAATACAATGATAAAAGCTGCTCGTATAACTATAAGTAGTAAACTATATGATCCCTTAAATTATCGCATTGAAACATTTGATACAGATTTTGAAAAATTTGTTAAAGAGGTTGAAGTAGCAGAGGTTGGTATGCAGCAATTTGTTAAACTGCTTACAAGCGAATGTCCAACGGCGGAATCAATGATGTTAATACTAAAACGTTTTGAAGCATTGCATTTAGAGTGTCTGTGCTTGGATCGAAGATATTTTAAGGTTGCCGAAATGTTAGAAAAGGAAATGCTTTTGCTTAAAGATGTATATAATGAGGAACGAGGTAATCCCTTTATACCACGTAACTTACCTCCTGTTGCTGGCCGTATTGTTTGGATACGTTCGATCTTCAAAAAAATTGATATTCCAATGCAAGCGCTAAAGTTACGTCATTGTGTTCTTGCCCACAAAAAAGCACAGCGCACAGTTCGCTACTATAACTACATGAATGGGATTGTTTGCCATTATGAAATGGCTTATCATAAAGCTTGGTTTGATTACGTTGAGGAAGTGCGATGTGCTCTTAATGCTCCCATTTTAACTATTAATAAAGACGAAGCTCTATATACCATAAATTTAGATCGGTCTATTTTGCAACTTATATCTGAAACCGAATGGATGTGGAAACTGCATTTAGAAGCTCCAAATATGGCTTCAACTGTAGCATATTGCAAAGATCGTATTTTTCATCCATTTAATACTTTGAAGTTAACTCTGCAGCGACTCGATCGTTTACGATCATCGTTGACTCCAGTGTTTATTAATATAATGCGGTTTCGGTTGCAGGAAATATCTGTAATGCTGAAGCCTTCTCTCTCTTCGGTGACATGGATATCGAAAAATTTGGAAGATTTCGTTGAAAAAGTTTGTATGGTAAGAAAAGTGCAATTAAACTATTGTCTATTTAATTAATTTATTTATTATTATTATTTTGTTTTATCATAGAAAATTCAAGAAGTGGAAATATTTTTTGGATTGATCTTAGACATTGAGGAGCTTAGAGTTATGCAAGAAATATACAATATATCTGAATTTTTATATATTTACGTTCCCGATGAACCCGTTCCATCTTATCAATTTGTTGAGGAGAGTAATAAGTTGAGAGCAAAAATTGGTATGTATTCTAAAAACTAAGAATTACTATATATATTAAAATTTTTTGTGAACTTTAAGAACGCGTACTTGAAAAGAAGTCAATATGTATGGAACGCGCAGTTATCGACATAATAAATATGTTTATTGACTTGCTAGACTTTGAGCAATCGGATTCAAAGGGACGACGTGTATTTCAGCTACCAGCAGAAAAGCTAAATGATACTAATTGGCGGACTGAGGGTTTTTTGCCAATTGATAAATGGGATTTTATTCAGTTTCATAAAATATACCGAACAATTTATTTAGCACCTGACGATGTACTAAGGACCCTACAATTTCGGAATTATGAGAATATACGGTATGAACTTCATCATTTACGTAATGACTGTATGGATCTGTTTTCTTACTATAACTCTAAAATTATTTTGGCCTTGGTTGCTGGATCTAAAAGATCTTTAGATTTTGTACGACAAAATATACTCAGGTAAGAGATTTTTTAAACATATACTCGTGTATAACTTCGATTTATAAGGTGTTAAAATTTTCCCGATCCGCCCACTAGGGGCGTGGCAAATCGGAAAATGCAT